CAGGCTGGTTCCTGGCCTTGGGCTGCCATGCCGAAGCTGCTGAGCTTCCCCCTACTCCAGCTGCCTGGCCTTGCCAGGATGTGTTTTTGGGTCCTGCGGGAACAGGCACTAGGCAGGAGATGTGCTGCAGTGGAGCATGGGGCTGAATGCAGGTGTAACAGCAGGTCAGCAGAAGGTGTGAGCACCTGTCTGCTGCCCCCCACAGGCACCGTGGCTCAGTCCAACCTGAGCATTTGGAGCAGTGAGCCAGTCTGGGAGGTGCTGTGGTTGTCAGGCTGCGGCATTGACTGTCTGGCAGGAGCAGCAGGGCAGAGCTGCTATACCTGGCCCCACTGTACCCTGGCATCCCTGCCCTGACTTAGGAGGGGCCACAGAATACTGGGATACTGGAGGACTTGAACTTGGGTGGAATAGCTGTGGAGAGCAGGAACAAAATTAGGCAGACTAGAGATAATCATTCCCTGGAGTGGCATAACTTTAAGCCAAATAATGAGTGCTTTAAGCCACTTAAGGTGTTAACTTGCAGTCAGTCCAGGGGTTAAAAACTCCAGAAGTTGCCTAAAACAAGGCTGTTACTGTAGAAGACTTAACCCAGGGGGGCATTGTTCTGCAGCATGTGAAACATGATTGGAGTTTCCTGATCATCCTTTTGCATAAAGATGCTGCTAGGATACTGGGGAGAGAGATAACTGACCAGGGTGGTGACAGGGTCTGGAGCAATCAAAGCTTCTCCATATCTGATTCACCTTAACTAACTTGTTTGTATTTTAGAATGCAGTGGGTTGCTTTGTGCTTATGAACTGCTATTTCATTAGTAGAATATTCTAGGAATTTCATACATTGTGTGATTTTTGTTTTCAAATTTTTTTAAATATTAAATCAATACACGTGGTCCAGGTAGACATAAAAGGCAGCAAAGCATCTAAGAGTTCTTTTAGCAGTCTTCCTACTGTAAGTCTTGATGAACCAAGTATTATTCTACCCACTCCATCATTATTTTTTCACTGAAAATTCACCCTTGTACAGGGAACCAGTAAGAGAAAATTCAAATAAAAAAAACCCTGCATTCTGAGTTTGTAAAGTTATGGCTGTGAAAGAACTTCAGTGGTGCTAGCACTGTGCTCTGGAACTTTCTGGCACTCAAAAAATTGCACATGTTGTTTTAGTCTATGTAAGAGGTCTCCATGTGACTGACTTTGCATACAAGAGCTAGCCATACTCAGTGTACAGCCTAAACGTATTAAAAGCAAAACAGTTATAAAGATAGTATGCAGTAATTAGGATACTTTAGAGCTGGCATTAGAAGATTGGCTCTTGGGAACAACTGTTGCATGGCTGCATTTGAAAAATTTGCCGTTTCCTCTTGTATTTAGAATAGGAAATAATTCCTGTATTTGTTGTGACTGCCAGAAAATGTCTATTACTTAAAGCCAAGTCCTCTATTTCAAATAGAGTAGGAAAGAGTATATTTAAAGCCTGGAAATGAGCATAGGAGCAAAGTAGTGAATACCACGAGAAATTTTAACAAAAATTGTCAGCTGTTACTTTGTCTCCCATGATTTAGGTGAGGACGTTAATGGGGAAGATAGAAGGGAAGCCCAAATCATATCGCATATATATTGTATAAATAGTATCCCATATGCTTCCATAGTGCCTAACACAATGGGACTGTGGTCTCAGGCTACTATAGACACTAAATAGCACAGTCTCAAGCACTGCTGATCATGTTGAGCTCCTGGTTTATCTTGAGGTTTTTCCTTTTTTTAAAAATTGCTTTCAAATTATGTTCCATTTCAGTGCTTCTCAAACCTCAGAGTGAGAACTCAAATGGCAAAATATTATTGCATTAGAGGAGGAGATTGGAAAAGAGGCAAGTCTCTCACTCCCCTTGCATCCATAGGAACATGTATGTGGCCAACTTTACGTACTGCTGGAGCATAGCCAGAGCTGCTGAAGATGCAGGAAGTAAGGCTATAGTTGCCTTACAATCTCCAGTTTTATTCAAGTAAGATAGCCTACCAGGTTATCCAATTTTCCACTTCTTCCTTGTTTTGCAAGTGAGCTACTAAACTGTATGCTGCTTAGCAATATTTTACTTTTAACATGATAATTAACAGGTTGTATTCTATTCTATAATAACTACAGGAGATAATTCAGTTTTATTAGCACTGCTGTATTCCAGATTTCAGTTACTTAAATTATAGAATACTAGACTCATATTAGAAGTGCAGCTGCACAAAAAGTTCAGTCAGTCATACTTCCTTAGGGAACTTTTTGTGCACACTGGTGAATTTATCACCACTTGACTTTTATGGTACTTATAACTACAGACTTCCTTCCTGTTACTCACCTTTATTTAATTTGTGCCCCATTACAGCTTTTGTTTTGCTTTTTGTATAAACAAAATGCATTCTGTTCTCTCAGTCTGTTTTGGACCTGCTGTGGGTGTGTGGGTTTAAACTTAGGCAGTTTCCTGTTGGTTTTATTTATTAGGCATCTAGAGCTGCCAATAGAGTGGGTAATGTATGTAGCCACATAGGCAAGACACCGATGTAATTCTTTAGCAAAGTGCTACAATTACTTTGTGCTAAGGCAATGAGGCGGCAAGCCGGCTAGTAGCAAAGAGACTGAAGAAATTCTGTTTCCCAAGATTGTGGTTTTCTATTCTTTGGTGAGGTTGCTTTGAACAGAGATGATTGACTTGTCTGTATAGGTAGGTATAAAGAACTTAGTTTTATTTTAGTAGGGATACCTTTTATTAGTTTAGAACTTAAAATGGTAGCTTCCTACTTCAAGCTGCCCAAATATTCAACTCTTGATTTAGAAAACCGATTCTCATGTCTAACGTACTTATCCAGGGTGATATAATATGCTAAGTTAATATGCTGAACTTATTCAAAGTAAATTAGAATGACTAATTTAGAATGACTAATTTAAATATCTTTCAGGAAACCATAATCTAAAGCCTAATTATTTAAATTTAGGGTCTTATGTTTTAAACAGAAGTGTATGAACAAGCTGAATACTCGGTAAGTTTAGATTACAGTTTGTATAGGATGGTTTGGATAGGGATGTCAGGGAGTTGGACTAGATGACCTCTGGAGGTCCCTTGCAGCACTGCTTCTCCGATTCTGTGAAATGACTACTACTTAGCTGAATGTTTTGCTCAAGTTACTTTATTAGAAATCCAGATACTTTAACTATTGTCTGTGTTTTCTGAGTTGTGTTGGCTGAAACAGTATGGTATGATTTAAAACAGAGGTGCTCAGCCCAAATCGATCGTAGACACTATAACATCAAATGCCTTTAGACCCCTTGACAATAAGAAGCCCTCCAAACATATTTCAGCAAGAAACTTGCCAATTTGAGACATCAAAAAGAAATGGTGGGAAGAGAAGTTAAAAAAAATCCAACAATTTGTTGACAGTCATGACATGCAGAGCTTCTTCAGTGCAATCAAGGTTGTGTACAGACCAAGCCCTTGTGGACTGACCCCACTTAGATCTGAAGGTGGCAGTATACTCCTCAAAAACAACAAGTCCATCAAAAACAGCTGGAAGGAGCACAAGCAAAAGCTCCCGAACCAATTATCGATGGTGACTGATGAAACCATTAAATCCATCCTACAGCATCCAGTAAGGGAAGCACTTGCCAGTCCATCAACCTCTGAAGAAGTCCACCAGGTGATAAGACTGCTGAAGAACAACAAAGCATCTGGCCCTGATGGCATATCAACTGAGGCCTTCAAAGTTGGTGGGGAAAATTTGACCAATAAGCTCTACACACTATTTCTCAAAATCTGGAACACTGAGGAAATTCCTGTTGACCTAAGGAATACCAGTGTTGTCATGATTTTTAAAAAGGGAGATAAGTCTGACTGTGGCAACTATCAAGGTATAGCCCTCCTCTCCATCACTGGGAAGATTTTTGCTCGAATTCTGCTGAACTGCCTGCTCCTTCTTGCTGAGGAAATCCTTCCCAAGTCTCAGTGCAGCTTCAGACCATCAAGAAGCACCATAGACATGATTTTTGTGGCCTGGCAGGGAAAGTGCCAAGAGCAGCACCAGGAACTATATATGGCCTTTATTGATTTGATCAAAACCTTTGATACTGTTAACTGTGAGACTCT